AAGGTATACCTAAACTCATGGCTGTTTCAACACAACACACTTCAAGTATACGGAAGAGGTACTGGATATTTTAGTTTGGGTCCTGCTGGTCACCTTCCGCCTCGCTGATTGAGGAACGCTCTTTATCGAGACGCTTAGAACCATCACCTTCACACAGATCCCAACATACGAATGATAGGAAGCGACTGTTGTAAGCGTTTTTATTACCTTGTATAAATTAATATTAAATAAATAGAAACTTGTACTCGCACATCTTTATCAGCGCTCTCTCTCTCTCTCTCTCTCTCCAACAGCCGTTACTAGACCCTCCTCTGCTCCCTCACAGCCTCGTACGTTCTCCTGCCTTACAACATTTTACACTCCTCTCCCCTCACCTCCGAGTAGTCCTTAATTCCAAGAGGCCACAAATTAACCTAACCTAACATACAAACAGAATTAGAGTCAAGTGTTAAGATCCCTAATTATTATGGACCCCGAAATTCATTTAACTCGAATGATTACGAAGGGAATTTCCTCATGGGAGTTGGGCCAAGTTGACCAGCAATGTCTGACGCCTTCCCTCTAACCCTTAGTCTCTAAAGTCCTCTTAGATTGCACTCGGGAATTGTATATCACACGTATTCTCAGAGACGTGAGCTCAACTCCAACACACTGAGGGGGAAATTCTCTAATTCTCACTCCTGGTTCTCTCTATCGATTAGCCTCCACTTCTCCTCTATTTTGGTGAATTGGATCAAGATGTACTGAAACACACGAGCAAGGGGAGGAGTTAGTGGTAGAAGGGAATTACAGAGAGAGAAACAAGAAGAGCTTCAAGTGATAAGCTTAAAATTACTACCAACAGAACTAATTTTTTCAAGTCACAGTGCATCTCTTCCGTGTATTTTCGGAAGGTGGGTGATGGAGATATTCGCTACGTAACCTGCTGTTAATAGCGACATACAGTGAATAAGAGAACTAGAGAGAGAGAGAGAGAGAGAGAGAGTTGATCCTGCTATAGGTCGTTCAAGAGGTTAGGTTAGGTTAGGTTAGAGGCAGCTTATAGGTCCATTTTATGTACACTGTTACCCCAACCAGGAGAGTTGACCCAAATAACGTTGTTCCATATTCCATGTTCCCTTCTTTTTCCACCGCTGACCTCATTCTTTCTCTTACCAATTTTATTTATTCTTTCCTGTATTGTCTTTGTCACGGGCCTATTTTACCTCCATTCTCAAATCCAGTAATTTCTATATATATATATATTTTTTTTATGTTGTTATTGTCGGTTCACCTATTTTTTCCTCTTCCTCTTTATTACCGACCTCCCCCTCCTCCCGTTCTCGGTTCCAGTTATTCTTCTATTCTTATTTTCCGATGTATTTTGTACCATGTTCTATACCTTGCTTCATATTTTTCACTGTCTTCCTCTCTCCCTTTCTCAATTCTTACTTTTTATTCTTGTTTGTGCAATGTCCTATAAAGGTTTATGATCCTCCAGGCTACGAGACACTCACGAGAAGATCAGATCCTTTTCTTATCGTATTTAATCCCTTTGTTTACCTTATAGTGTTCGATCCTAGACAGACGCGCCTGTATCACCCATCTCCCCTTCCTCCCACAAAACACTGATGTAATGGTAGATTCAAAGGATGCCATGAAGATTAGCCACCCCTTTCTCTCATCCCCAGGATCTGTAAACAAACGAATCCTAAATAACAAAATGAAAATGAATATACAGTAACTAACACAAAACACAGCTTCCTAGGATGGTTAGGTTAGGTTAGGTTAATGTCGACCTGTCTTTCATCTTGAGAAACGGAGTAAGAATTCTTTATTTAATTTGAAAAGCTGTGTGTGTGTGTGTGTGTGTGTGTGTGTGTGTGTGTGTGTGTGTGTGTCCAATAAAGGTGTCACATTCCCACTTTCAGCACTCGTAGTAAAATAATAATATTCGTAACCCAGATTCACTCGCCTACAGAGAGCTCGACACTGACCCCATAAATACGCCTCACAAAAAATTTGATTTCTTTCTTTTCCAATTATTAATCTATTTCACTGCGGTTTTCGATGTTATATAGCTCGTATTTATAGAATAATTATCGTATATGAAAAACAAATCACTATGTTTTGATGTTTTAACACTAAATAAAATCATTCTGAGTATTCCATTATTTTTTCATAACTTTAATATAACAACGAAGAAAATTGTGATGTAACTTTTATCCTCTGGGAAAGAATAAGAGGTAAAATTAACACAACAAAATCTTTCAGAAAACAATGATAAATGACAACCAATCTGACACATTACAGTAACACCACTACCAGTCCCACCTCCACTGACCCCCTGATCCCTACGAAATTGTCGAGGTGTATATGATGGTTTGGCTGTGATTCTTTTGTCGTATAAATCTACTGTATATCTGCACTTTCTATGTACATTGTTTGTATACCTACACTGTCTATGTGGAGACAAAATAGTAAATCTGTACAGTACTTTGAAGCTTGTTTAAAATGGTTTCCAACTAATAAAAAAAAAAAGATATTTAACTCGATTTATATAACTGAAAAATACTTAGATTTTTGTTTTGCTCACCAACATGATTGACTAAAACAAATATGGATATTTCTAATCCAATTGTTAACACGTATGGGGCTGTCAAAAGGAAGGCTGTCATCATGTGGGCTGTATATTTAATTCTCAACAAAAAATATTAATCTTACAAAACATTCACAAGTTTTTACTGTACTCATATTTCATTCGTTTATTACAATGTGGTCGTAGAGTAACGGGTGTATATTGTTTTAATACTACTGCCGGTCTGTAGCCTATTCTAATAAATAAATAAATAAATAAATAAATAAAATGTATCAATCCCACGTCAATTTATTTTATAAAGTGAGGTAAAATTTGTGTACTGTAAAGTGTAAAACAAATCAGACTTAACGCTTTAGTGTTCCTACTCGTGGGCGGTGTATTGGTGTAGGGGTGTTGAGGGGTATTGGTGTGGGGATGGTTGTGTTGAGGGGTGTTGGTGGAGGGTGTTGGTGTAGGAGGTGATGTGTTGGTGTGGGAGCAAATGTTGATGAGTAATTGTTGGTGGGGCTTATATATTGGTAAGGAGCATATATTGGAAAGGTGCATATATTGATAAAGCGATAAATTGGTTGAAAGAGGAAGGTGTTGATGGGTAGAACACACTCAACGTAATGAGTAAGCAAGAAATAACGACGGAAAACAACATAGCGAGAATAACACCGGGAAATACGACCATAGAATGAGACTACGGGAAAAACAAGAACACATAAGAAAATAATTATGTTGAGAGACACGAAGAAGGAGAGAGAGAGAGAGAGAGAGAGAGAGAGAGAGAGAGACCCAGATATATTAATGTGTAGAACGAGTCACTGGAAAGAGTAGGTGGTGTATGCTGGTGTAGTAAATATGTCTTATGAGAGATACTTAGGAAATAAATTTACACGTGAAATGGTGTAAATTAACTTATACAGTATATAGTATATACATTATTTCCCCTCTTCTAACCTGACTTGACCCTGATCCAATCTGAGTCTGATCTAACTTACCTAAATTCCTCTTAATCTAACCAAGCCTTCCCTAACCTTACTTACTCCTAACCTAATCAAACATCCCTAACCTAAACTAGGACTGGATGAACAAACCTGGACCAGAGTTACTGTCCATCACACGCACAAGTCGGTGGTCAGAAGAGGCCCGACATACAGCTATGTCCTTTGTCGTCGTCCCAGACTTTCAATACTTGGAGTGTTGAATGGTGCATGTGTGTGTGTGTGTGTGTGTGTGTACCCAGCAGGAGGAGAATACACCTGTGATAAGGTGCAGGAGAGAGTGGGAGGATGATAACAGTGGTAGCATTCCTCCCTTCAACCAACTACCATCTTCCATTCATTACCCTGGCTGGAGGAATATTTTGGGAGAGCCTCATCAAGCTCTGGCTGTATACTCGCTGAATATGAAGCTTGGAGTGTCCCATTCAAAAGTAAAGCTTAGTTCTGGTAATGGAAGTCACTATACTTAGGCTTTTACGTCTTTTTTGGGGGACGGAGTGGGAGAGGGTTAATGTTTCTGGCTAAAGTGGTTTATCCTGAGGTCCATGGTTTAGAAGAGCCCAGAGATTAGGTTCTCAAGTGTTCCCAATGATGAATACCTATGATAGTCTATCATAACGTCTTCAACTTACGACATACTCAGACTAAGGTAAACATACCCAGCCTACCTTAACTACCTTTTACTCATTTCGTCATTTTAACTAACCCAGAGAGAGAGAGAGAGAATTATTACTTCCTAAGCTAAAATACCACAAGACCTACAAATCTATTGATCATTTCACCAGAGTTCACATGTAGCTTTACTAATGAAGTCATTAAATGTCAAATTGACTCTCTGAGATATTTTAAAAGCGGCTTTTAACGATAGTGGAGGTAAACTTTATTGATCAATTTATTATATTAATTAGCAAATAATACCAGGTAGGGGGGATGAAATGGGGGGTTGAGAGAGGGAGGAGGCTGAGGAGGGAGGGAGAGAGGTTGGACGGGAGGAAGAAGGGGAGGAAGGGTGGGGTGAGGGATGGAGGGAGGAAGGGAAGGAAGGAGGGAGATGGTAGGGGATGCATACATAAAACTGCACACACACACACACACCTGTTCAACATGCATACATAATGTACACAAGTCTGGCTATTTGCTTTTTCCTCGTGTGTGTGTGTGTGTGTGTGTGTGTGTGTGTGTGTGTGTGTGTGTGTGTGTTTCATCAATCATCTCTTTCCGTCTAAACTTCTCTTATGTCTCTCTTCTCTAACTCCATCCCTTATTGAGGTGTCTCCTGCCCTTCATCTGCCCAATAGATGTGAGAATGGGAAAACTGTGCAACGTAGATGAATAGAGAAATGATGATCAATAAATTCTATAGCAACAAATATAAGTTGGGATCTATATCTGTACCTTAAGAGTGACTAATGCGAGCGTTTCTATTCTTCCAGGCGCGACGCGACGCAACCCGGAGTTAAGGTGGCTCAGGTGTTATAAGTGAATCAACCTCCCCTCTTATCTCCATCCCGGCCACTTTCGTCTCTTGTTGAAGTCCTTTTTAGCGGCCGAGTTGTTCTGTCCTACTGCAGGAACAGTCTATTAATGACGTGCTGCAGGCTGCCTCTGTTAGCGACCTGCAGCAGTTTGTATGAACACTTATCCTCGGTACACAACTTTTGACGTCATGTTGTCTGACCCCATTGTTGGTGGTCGGTAACGAGACATATTCCTGGGAAACATTTCTGCCCGTCGTTTGGAAGATTGTGATTTTAACTTTCAGGGAAACATCACACGCGTAGTGAACCAAGTGAGTGTACAGTTGAGTGGGTAGTACTGTGAGCCAAGTTGTGATCCAAACTGTGAGACAAATTGTGAGACCCATGGGGAGTGTTGGTGAAGATAACGTAAGCCCTACAAGCGAGAGTAACGCTACCAGAAGGTGGCTGAGGAAACATCTCGCTCACATTATGGAAGCAAGTTCTGGCTTCACCCCAAGTATTGAGGGGAAGACCCACACGCTGAACCCACTGAGGATTTTGGCCACCAAGACCAGCAGGATGGTGGGAGGTGGGCTGGAGGATGCGACCCCCGGCAGCCTTGTGAAGGACTGGCTGGAGGGACACAGTAACCAATCTACTGACCTCCTGACGTTGCTGTCTATGGAGGGGGACGCGCCTGACCCTCACACTCTTCGAAGAGTTCTCAACAACTTACTTCAAGTCGAGACAACTCCATATCACAACGATGGTGAGTATTACAATAATTCTGTTTGATTTTAGAAATGAAATTCTTTTAATTCACAGTCTGTACTATAGTCCATGTGTCTCTTGGGCAAAGTCAGTGTCGTCTAGTACGATAATATACGAAAACGAACAACATAGTTTGGGAACGTTAAGTCAATACGAAAACCAGAGTGAATAGCTAAAGCAGTGCTCGAGGACCCGTGTTCTCCCTCATATGAAAGCGTGAGAGTTGGTAAGTGTTTGTCCTGGTGGTAAGTTGGAGTACTATACATCCCTCCCGCCGCTGCCACACTCCCCCTCAAAGACTTTGTGTCCATTGTTTCATCTCTATGTAAAACATTAGTCTATACTAAGGCGAGCGAGCCACTTGCCTTATTTCATATACGTATTCAAAACTCAGTCGCCTTAAACGAAACTATTTCTAGTTTTATTAACACATTTCTATAAACAAAAACATGGAGATCAAATATATTGTAATTTCATCTACATAATATCACAAGAACTACAAACGTGTACTGTTATGGTGATACAGTGAGCTGCTGCCCTCACCATCACCTGCAGTAGTGATAAATGCTAATAGAATAATTACTTTTAGTCCCAAAGATAATGAGTAAACAAAAATATCGGTGTAGTTACAAGACATCAAATTAATTACAACATAATTAGATTTTTTTATGTAATACGGAAAGAAATAATTTAGGTTTTATATATTTATTTAAATTTTAGTTTATTACAGTACGTCAACATAGTAAATGCATCAATGTGTAATAAAGTAACTCTTGATGGTATATATTTAGTGTTTGTCTTATCTAATGTATGTGACTGTTCTATAAAGTGTTACAATTAAACCTAACCTAACCTAACCTAACCTAACCAATCGGCCACCCATCGTTAGTGTCCGACTTAGGGTGAAGGACATTTCCCCCACCCATCGTTAGTGTCCGACTTAGGGTGAAGGACATGACCCCCACCCATCGTTAGTGTCCGACTTAGGGTGAAGGACATTTCCCCCACCCATCGTTAGTGTCCGACTTAGGGTGAAGGACATGACCCCTACCCATCGTTAGTGTCCGACTTAGGGTGAAGGACATGACCCCCACCCATCGTTAGTGTCCGACTTAGGGTGAAGGACATGACCCCCACCCCAGCAACTGATGCAGCCAATTACCGATTATCGATCACTCTCGCTAATTCAAGTACAGGCAGGTGGAGGCGCAAGGCGGAAGCAGGTGTGTGTGTGTGTGCGTATGCGTGTGTGTGTGTGTGTGTGCGCGCGTATGTGTGTGTGTGTGTGTGCGCACCAGAGGAGGCAAAGGGAAGCTGAGAGAGAGAGAGAGAGAGTGTGCTGGAGGAATGTTGGTAACTGTAATGACACAGGCATTAAGAAACTGAGCGAGAGAGAAGTAAGAGAGTGAGAGAGAGTGAGAAGTAAGAGGGTGAGAGAGTGAGTGAGAGAGAGAGAGAGTGAGAAGTAAGAGGGCGAGGGAGTGAGTGAGAGAGTGAGAAGTAAGAGGGTGAGAGAGTGAGTGAGAGTTAAGAAGGCGAGAGGTGAAAGGTGAGAGATGAGAGATAAGAGGGTGAGACGTAAGAGGGTGAGAGAGTGAGTGAGAGTTAAGAGGGTGAGAGGTGAAAGGTGAGAGATGAGAGATAAGAGGGTGAGACGTAAGAGGGTGAGAGAGTGAGTGAGAGTTAAGAGGGTGAGAGGTAAGAAGGCGAGAGATGAGAGATAAGAGGGTGAGAAGTAAAAGAGTGGTCGCTGGTCGCTGTAGTATTGTGCCTACTGTAGTGTTGTGCCTACTGTAGTATTGTGCCTACTGTAGTGTTGTGCCTACAGTAGTGTTGTGCCTACTGTAGTGTTGTGCCTACAGTAGTGTTGTGTCTTCTGTAGTGTTGTGCCTACTGTAGTGTTGTGCCTACTGTAGTGTTGTGTCTACTGTAGTGTTGTGTCTACTGTAGTGTTGTGTCTACTAGAGTGTTGTGCCTACTGTGGTGTTGTGCCTACTGTAGTGTTGTGCCTACTGTAGTGTTGTGCCTACTATGCAGTGTTGTGCCTGCACAACAGTGTTGTGCCTACTGTAGTGTTGTGCCCTACTGTAGTGTTGTGCCTACTGTAGTGTTGTGCCTACTGTAGTATTGTGCCTACTGTAGTATTGTGCCTACTGTAGTGTTGTGCCTACTGTAGTGTTATGTCTACTGTAGTATTGTGCCTACTGTAGTGTTGTGTCTACTGTAGTATTGTGCCTACTGTAGTGTTGTGTCTACTGTAGTATTGTGCCTACTGTAGTGTTATGTCTACTGTAGTATTGTGCCTACTGTAGTGTTGTGCCTACTGTAGTGTTGTGTCTACTGTAGTGTTGTGCCTACTGTAGTATTGTACCTACTGTAATATTGTGCCTACTGTAGTATTGTGCCTACTGTAGTATTGTGCCTACTGTAATATTGTGCCTACTGTAATATTGTGCCTACTGTAGTGTTGTGCCTACTGTGTGATCCCCCCAAAGTACTGAAATGGACTGACCAGCTGTGCAATTTGCATAAAGATTGGATGGTGACTGACAATGTTAATGTAATCAACCTCACCCCCTACACACACACATCCACACACCACACCCCCACACACACATTTCCCCCCACCCACCCACCCACACACACACATCCCCACACATCCACACATCCCCCCACACACACACCGGACTCTACCGTACTCTGTTTGCATTTAAATGATTTTCTCTTGAGACCAAAATCCAGTTCCTAAAACAGGTTTCCATCATATGTTTTCCAATTTCCTTACGTCATAGATCATTAGGTATTGTTTTCTAATTATTTCCGACTTTTAATGTTTATTTGTTTTCGTCATGAAGCATCAGAGAACTACCAACCTACCATTAGAGACCCATCAACCTACCATTAGAGACCCATCAACCTACCATTAGAGACCCACCAACCTACCATTAGAGACCCATCAACCTACCATTAGAGACCCATCAACCTACCATTAGAGACCCATCAACCTACCATTAGAGACCCATCAACCTACCATTAGAGACCCATCAACCTACCATTAGAGACCCATCAGCCTGCCATTGAGGACCCACCAGCCTACCATTAGGACCCACCCAGCCTGCCATTAGGACCCTGGCCTGCAAATTTGGGGACCCACCCAGCCTGCCATTGGGACCACCAGCCTGCCATTAGAGGACCCGCAGCCTGCCATTGGGGACCCATCAACCCCTGCCATTGGGACCCATCATCCTGCAAATTTGAGAGACCCACCAGCCTGCCATTAGGACCCACCAGCCTGCCATTAGAGGACCCACCAGCCTGCCATTAGGGGACCACCAGCCTGCATTGGGGACCCATCATCCTGCCATTAGGGGCCATCAGCCACCATTAGAGACCTTACATCAGCCTGCCATTAGGACCCATCAGCACACCATTGGGGGACCCATCAGCCTGCAAATTTGGGGCCATTGACTACTGCATTAGAGACCCATCAACCTACCATTAGAGACCCATCATCCTACCATTAGAGACCCATCAACCTACCATTAGAGACCCATCAACCTACCATTAGAGACCCATCAACCTACCATTAGAGACCCATCAACCTACCATTAGAGACCCATCAACCTACCATTAGAGACTCCATCAGCCTGCCATTGAGAGACCCATCCAGCCTGCCATTGGGGCCATCAACCTGCCATTGAGAGACCCATCAACCTGCCATTAGAGACCCTGCCAACCTGCCATTAGAGACCCATCACCTACCATTAGAGACCCATCAACCTACCATTAGAGACCCATCCCACCTACCTACCATTAGAGACCCATCAACCTACCATTAGAGACCCATCAACCTACCATTAGAGACCCATCAACCTACCATTAGAGACCCATCAACCTACCATTAGAGACCCATCAACCTACCATTAGAGACCAGCTGTTGACCAGGTGATAAGCTGTCGAACAGATACAAAATTTTAACTTCATTACTTTTCACATTTTCCCCGGTACTAATTTATTCAAATATTCGTATTATATCATCGAGGATTTAAGTGGAGTATTTTAACTTATACACTACGTAATTAGAGGCGTTATGGGCGTACTTTGAACTAATACACTACGTAATTAGAGACGCATGGGCGTATTTTGAAGCAATATACGTGTAATTAGAAGCATAATGGGCGTATTTTGAAGCAATATACACGTTATTAGAAGCATAATGAGCTTATTTTGAAGCAATTTACACGTTATTAAAAGCATTTGGGAGTATTTTGAAGCAATATACGCGTAATTAGAAGCATTACGGGCGGATTTTGAAGCAGTATTCACGTGATTAGAAACGTTATGGGCGTATTTTGAACCACTGTACAACGTATTTTGATGTACCATAAACGTATTTTGAGACCTCAATGACATTCCGAGGACCTAGATACCATAGACGTATTTTAATGTGTTTTTGACGTATTTCACGGGCGTTATTGGCGTGTTTTGTGCGTTATTGGCATATTTTGGGGGGTTATTGATATATTTTGGGCTTTAATCTACGTATTTTGGGCTTTTATAGACGTATTTTGGAAACGTTGACGTATTCTCAGGAGCCCGTCTGTTGCGTGCGTGTGTTCATAAACTCACTAACAAATACACCAGTGCTCCTCCCCCCCCCCTTTGTCTTCATTACGGTACCTTAATCAAGTTCCGCTCCCACCCCCAGGCTCTCCCACGCCCCCCAGGCTCTCCCACGCCCTCCACGCCTCTTTCACGCCCCCACATTTCTTTTTCTTTTCTTTTCATGAAGCCATCCAGTTAATCAAAACCCACGCGTCTCTCACAACCCAGTGCCTCTCACGGACACCCACACACACACACACACCCACACACACACACCCCCACACACCCACACACAATGCTCTCACTACTACAGTATAAACACCTCGCTTCACAGTTAAAACACCCGTACTCTACCTGGGGGAGTTAAGTTAGGTTAGGTTAGGTTAATCTCGTGGTGAAATAAGTTAGGTTAGGTTAGGTTAGGTTAGGTTAGGTTAATCTCGTGCTGAAATAAGCTAGGTTAGGTTACGTTGGTTAATATAGTGCTGAAATAAGCTAGATTAGGTTAGGTTAGGTTAATCTCCTGGTGAAATATGCTAGGAGGTTTACCATTAGACGATCCAAATATTCAATTTATTTATGTGTAATTTCCTTTCTGTTTTAGGTGTTAATTTTTCCTTGTCAACCACACAACAGTAAAGTAAATTAAATGTGTATTTTTTTAACCTTTGACGGCATCCTCATTAAAAACCTATGACATTTTTTATTCTCACACACACACATGCACACACGTACATAGACACACACACACACACACACACACACACACACACACACACACACACACACACACACACACACACACACACACACACACACAGACAGACACACACACACACAATGCTGTCACTCAGAACCGGGTATGAGGATTATCCATCCATGAGAAGATGAGAAGATGACAACAATTTTTAATGGCGTCTCCTTCCTTAATGAGCTCTAAGGTAGCGGCGGATAGGAGGACCGGCAGGACAGTCCGCAGAGGTTGTGTGTGGTAGAGTGGTATGTCTATGGTAGTGTGGTGGTATGGTGGTGTGGTAGGTCTATGGTAGTGTGGTGGTATGGTGGTGTGGTAGGTCTATGGTAGTGTGGTGGCATGGTGGTGGTAGGTCTATGGTGTGTGGTGGTGTGGTGGTGGTAGGTCTATGGTAGTGTGGTGGTATGGTGGTTGTGGTAGGTCTATGGTGTGTGTGTATGGTGGTGTGTGGTAGGCTCTATGGGTAGGGTGTGGGTGGCGGGTGGGGTGTGTGTGTAGGTTTATGGTAGTGTGGTGGGTATGGTGGTGTGGGTAGGTCTATGGTAGTGTGGGTGGGGTATGGTGTGGGGGTAGGTCTGTAGTGTGGTGGTGGGTATGGTGGTGTGGTAGGCTCATGTGGTAGTGTGGGTGGTGTGGTAGGCTCTATGGTAGTGTGGTGGTGTGGCTGTGTGGTAGGTCTATGGTAGTGTGGTGGTATGGTGGTGTGGTAGGTCTATGGTAGTGTGGTGGTATGGTGGGTGTAGGGTCATGGTAGTGTGGTGTATGGTGGTGGTAGGTCTATGGTAGTGTGGGTGGGTATGGTGGTGTGGTAGGCTCATGGTAGTGTGGGTGGTGTGGGTAGGCCTGCGGTAGTGTGGTGGTGTGGTAGGTCTATGGTAGTGTGGTGGTGTGGTAGTGTGGTAGGTCTATGGTAGTGTGGTGGAAGCGGTGGTGTGGTAGGTCTATGGTAGTGTGGTGGTATGGTGGTGTGGTGGTATATGGTAGTGTGGTAGGTATATGGTACTGTGGTATGTCTATGGTAGTGTGGTAGTGTGGTATGTCTATGGTAGTGTGGTGGTGTGGTAATGTGGTATCGTAGTGGCGCGGTAGTGTGGTAGCGTAGCAGTGTAGTGGTGTAGTAGTGTGGTATCGTAGTGGTGTGGTATTATAATGGTATGGTAAGTGTTATATTGTAGTGGCGCTATAGTGTAGTACTGCAGTAGTGTAGTGGCAATGTATAGTGTAGTAATGTAACAGTATAGTGGCACTGAAGTGATCCTCTGCCTCAAGTTGAATTAGTTTGGGAATGAGGAAAATGACTGAACTCAGAGCATTCATTCCTTCACGCCTCGAGATTAATTACTTCTCTCCAGCACCCCCCCCCCAAGCGCCTGCCCATTAAACCCTATCTCATCAACCTCTGTCTCTCGTAATGAAGAAGATTGATCTCATTATTAAGCTACTCATTAATGAAGGAATTGATGGGTGAGAGATTCTTCTTTATATGTTGGGGGAAGTTACGATACTACCGAGAGTTTATTACCGTTTATGTTACTTGTTATTGATACTTAACCCTGTCATTGTCACCTCCATACATTAACGAGCTGCTGAGACTATACAGAAAGTTAATACTCAGGAATATTAGAGGTTAAGGATGGGTTAAATATTAGTACCAGAACTTATTTTACTTAAGATTAAACACCTTAGATTTAACATGACTTAACTTAATCTAGTCAAACCAAACTTAACCTAGATTTAACACGACCTAACTTAATATAACTAGCCAAACCTAACCTAACCTAACTCCCCCCTCCCTCCCCCCCCCCTCACGTAGCATCAGGGTGTTTTATCATCAGGTGAAATGGTCGAATCACATGAACATTAAGCACCCCTAGTTTATTTCACCTGATAATTGACTATATCTGTCATTACCTGGAGGGTTAGGTTTGATTGTTATTCTTCAGGTGAACTAAGCAAGGGGGTGGGGGCTTAATTTAATTTTGTCAGTCAGTCAGTCAGTCAGTCATTCCATCACAAGAGACACCCATCGTGTATTCCTCACTCACTCTCGCAGTCTAATATTACCTCCTTTCAATCTCTGGAAAGCCTCAGCGCCAGGGAGAAGAAGGGTACACGCGTGGGTAGGAGACGGCAACCCTTCCCTATCCCCCACCCACGCAGAGGAGCTGGCAGAGATTGATAAAATGAGGGATAAGCGGCAGGTAAGGAAGGAGGAAGAGAAATAGGAGGGAATAAGTAAACAAGAGCCAAAACACAAGTTAGATCCGATGATATATTTTTTTTTTCACCCAACACCCGCACTCTGTCGTTTGCTCTCGGCTGACACTCAAGCTGTGTGTTCCAAGGGGAGGGGATTTAAATCTGTCCCCCTAAAATTATCACTTCTTTCACAGCTGGTCGTGGGACAGACAGTCTTGATGGAGTGTAGTGTTACTCATTATCGATAAGAGGACTTCGGGTACGAGTCCTCTCTTGTAACCCACGAGTCCCCCTGCAACCCACGAGTCCCCTGCAACCCACGAGTCCCCCTGCAACCCACGAGTGCAACCCACGAGTCCCCCCAACCCACGAGTCCCCTGTTACAAGAACCCCCTGCATAAGGTAGGGATCCCATTAGACCTGGGGACCCATTATCACCAGTACCCATTAGGACTGGCGGGAACCTTCGTGGTTTACAGTCCTTACTTAATAGATGATATCCGTCTCGTCCACAGACTTGGAGAACGAGGCGTCTAGTGATCTGCCCTTCCAGATGCCCGTATACCAACAGGTGCTCTGGGTCCTCGCCTTCGGGGTGATGATTCTCGGAGCTTGTATCGGCAACACTATCGTCATCAGGATCGTGTTGGGTAAGTCACTTTATCGTGTTGGGTAAGTCACTTTATCGTGTTGGGTAAGTCACTTTATCGTGTTGGGTAAGTCACTTTATCGTGTTGGGTAAGTCACTTTATCGTGTTGGGTAAGTCACTTTATCGTGTTGGGTAAGTCACTTTATCGTGTTGGGTAAGTCAGGGGACCTTGGTACACCCACCCCCCCCCTCCACCCTGGAGGAGACGAGCACTATGTAAACAATGACAGCTGTGACCACACCCTGGCAAAATACAATGTATTTAGCTAATGCTGCAGCTGCTGTGAATAGGGGGCCGGAGTCACTACCAAGAGCAGACGTTACCGAGAACAAATTCCGACTTGAAAATCATGTACTGTACACTAATACGTTTCTTGAAAAGAGAAACGAGTTTGAAACACTACTGAAGGTACATCAACCCACAGCACTTCGGCACCTCAGATACACCGAGTGATTAGAGCGCCTGCGATTGCCTAGCTTATACTACAGACGGGCAAGGGGGACCTAGTTGAGGTGTATAAACATCTCAAAGGGCACTACTCAGTCGAGTGTCCTTACCTAGAGATGGCAGACGCTCGCCCCACAAAGGGTCACAGCTCAAGCTTGAAGAAGCCGTAAGTCCAGAAAACTGTGAGGGCAAACTTTTTCAGAGCGAGAGTTGTGAATTCGTGGAACAATCTGCCAGAGAGTGCTGTGACGGCACCGAGTGTAAGCTCTTTCAAGATCCGACTTCACTAGCCCTGGAGCAGGTTCAGATACATTCAGGAGCCAGTGCATGCCCAGTACTTGCCAACAGTGCGTAACAGAGACGTGACAGATTGCCCAAGCGGCTAACGAGCCAATCAGTGGTGAAAAGGATAAAAGTAAACAAAAAAAAGTGTTGTGTAAGTCACTAACTTCTTGGGTAGGTCACTTCAACGAGCTGTATATATTACTTCTATATACATCATCTTTAAACGTACAGAACATCATTATTCATATCTGCAGGTTTATATTGTTTATATGAGGGAGGGAGAGTGTGTAAACAAACTCGGTCGTAAAGTGATGGATCTTTTTTTTAACACTTGTCATTTTTAAATTTTTACCGCTAAAGTTCTAGTGTGTGGTTCATAACTTACTGGAAGACGGAATACTTTTGTTGATATAGGATTCGTAGAAGTGAGCGTGTGTGTGTGTGTGTGTGTGTGTGTGTGTCTGTGTGTGTGTGTAGGACATAATCACGAAAACAGAATAAAAACTGCTTACAGATAAAAAAATAAAACTTTCTCGTATTGCGCAAAATCCGAGCTTTAAGAAATATCTAGACACATGAAGGTAATATCTCAGTGACCGTCGTGTATACATCACCACCTGTCCGCAAGGTAGGCGGTTAGTAAGTTAGTGTGGGTTTGTGGAGGTGAAAAAAAAACATGATAGAAATTGAATAGTTCATAAAACACACACAAACACACATACCTAAACAAACTCTAAAACCCAGAAATATTACTAATGATCTCCCATAATCACCTACATTACTATAAGGACACACCATCATCACAATTAATCACAATAATATCTCACACATTAATATTTTCCATATTTAATCGCAAACATTCAAATCACCTCAATAAATTAATTTCATTTTATATATTTGTTTGGCCATTTGAATAGGGAACACTGAATAAATTACACCACCGTTAAAAGCATTTCCCAGAATAACTCTTTGATAAGCAAGATGATAAAGGTGTTTTAGATAAAGAGTTCAACTATAGTTATTCTACATGTATCATGGATGGGAGTCATAGCTTTATTAAAATCAGAGTATAATCCGGAATTATATATACGTAAATAATCCCTACTCGCTAATGTGTGTTCTTTAATAATTCCACAGGGGTTTATTCCCGGATTATTCTACCAGTCTTCGTATTCCAGAAATATTACACCAAGAAAGTCTTCAGTAGTTAATCCCACCACACGCAATTAATCCCATCACACTCAATTAATCCCACCACACGCAATTAATCCCACCACACGCGATTAATCCCACCACACGCGATTAATCCTACCACACGCAATTAATCCCACCACACGCAATTAATCCCACCACACGCAATTAATCCCATCACACTCAATTAATGCTACCAGACAAGTAATCCTACCAGACAATGCAGCATCTTTTTTAACATCTATGTAGCTTATCCCAGTAGGTCCAAATAGGTCCCAGAAGGTCCCAGTAGGTTTAGTAGGTCCCAGTAGGCTCTAGTAGGTTCCAGCAGGTCCCAGTAGGTTCCAGAAGGTTCCAATAGGGTCCAAATAGGTTCTAGTAGATCCCAACAGGTGCCAACAGATCCCAGTAGGTCACAACAGATCCCAACAGACTACAACAGATACCTAAAGGTCCCAACGGATCCCAAGAGACTACAACAGATCCCTAGAGGTCACAACAGATCCCAAGAGACTACAACAGATCCCGAGAGGTCCCAACAGATCCCAACAGGCTCCAGCAGATCCCAAGAGGTCCTCCATAATACAGACGCCATCAGCAACACCTAAAAACACAATTTCATTCGAGAGAAGAATCAACACCTCCCTGTGATGCATAATGCTGCTGGATCTGTTTTGTAATTGCATGTGAAAAAGAAAACACGCGTTATCATGTTATTCTTCGTCATGGTATAGTGTTCGTGTGTTTGTCTATCCTGCTTTTCTTTTTTTGTTTTTCAGTTGATTTTGTTTTTGTTTTTTCGGTTCGGGTTATTGTGTTTTTTTTTTATTGCAGTTGTTGTTGTGATCGTTGTTATAGTTGTATACCCCGACATTCACCAAGTCTCCTGACCATAGAGAAGCTTCACCAGGTCGTGTTATTTTTGTTGTTGTTATAATCGTTGTGGAGGTTGTTATTGTTGTGGTTGTGATTGATTTTGTATGCTTCGACATTCACCACCAAGTCATCCACTCTGACGGAAGCTTCACCATGCAGATTATCCTCTCAAGCCTTACGAGAAATCCTCTTTCACCCGGACGCTTGGGGGGACAACACACGCTTTCACGTTCCTTCCAGCAAATCTCTCTCTCTCTCTCTCTCTCTCTCTCAACTGCTATAGTTTAGTTATATATCCAGGCGCTCGCTATAATGTATAACAAGTTGTATAACACTACAAAAAGAACATCTGTCTTTGTTCTTCGGTTAAAGTTGTTGTTTAGTGTAGAAAGAGAACGTAATACAAATAGGTTAATGCGACAGTAAGAAAAATCTCTTAACTTTTTTGTTATAGCTGTTTCCCATACAGAAGGACTTGGTGAACGTTACTTAAAGACATTAGTTGGTATTTGAAGAACGAAGTCGATTGGGAAAACTTGAGATGATCCTTTTTATATCTATACAAATCTTAGGAACTTCACTTCACTTCACTTCAACTCGTTCAAGTAAGAAAACACAAAGAGGAGTATGAAGAAGCTGTGGAGGTGCGAGGCTGGAGTATGGGGATCATATATATATGGTATATATTTACACGGGATTATGGCATCTACACCGAGGATTGAGGAGGGGCGGTTGGGGTAGGGGCGGTTGTGGGAGGGCGGTTGGGGAGGGCGGTTGGGGGAAGGAGAGAGGGAGGGAGGTGGCAGCGGGAGTGGAGAGGCGACTTTTTTTTTTTTTTTAGATAGAGAGAAAGGAGGGGTGAAAGAAGATTAGAAGTAAGGGAAGGAATTTATAGTTCGGAAATTGAATAAATTTAGGTCGAGGTAGGAGGGGGAGGGCTGACCGCCCTGCTGTAGATTAAGTTAGCTAAGCTAAAGGTGTGAAAGGGTTGTGTCATGGATTAGTTATTGTTTGTCGACACGGGCACTAGACAGCCTACCTTATCTTATACATGGGTGTTATGAGGGCCTTATTTCATATTCCGCCGACCCTACTGGCGGATGCTGGTCTAGGGAGGTTGTCTATTGCCTGGCCGTATAGATCGGGTAGGTAATGGACCTTTTGAGATTTGGTAATTTTTTGGGAATCATGTATGGTTGTTGTCTGGTGGGAGTCTTTGAAGATTTTTAGGAGAAGTAAATCTACTCTCCAAACATGTTATTCATCGACCAGGAGCCACAGATACGACCAAGACCTACACCCTTATTTGTATATTTGATTTGATCTTTTATTATTGACAACCATAGTGCATTGACTAACCTTTAACACCTTAATATAACATCAACACATCTCACGTCAGTCACTGCATCTATACGTTATCAGCGTCGCCCGACCATCAAATCCACTTGTCGTCAATGATCGATCGTTACTTCATATAAGTTATGGTCGAGCTCTAAAATATTCGATAAAGAAACGAAACCTCCTGAATCATTTCGGCCAAAATGTTTACCGGGTAATTTATTTCTCAAAGGCCGATTGAAATTCTTTAATAAAAATAAAATCCAACGAAGGATTAAATTCTTAAACTCCCCCTCGAATAAAAATATGGGAAAGTACTAAATTACCTTACCTGGGACGTTAAGACATTTAATATCTGAACATAACTCAGGTGTGTCCTAAATGTGTTGGGAAACAGTGTGGGTACAGGTTGGTTCCCTGAGATACTGGAAGCGTTTCATGTGGGCTTCAGTCCAGAGTTGTGTATCTGTCCACCTGTTGGTGTTGTGATGGTGGACACGTGGGTAGTGGGTCACGTTACAGGACCTGTGAACACATGGTTACTGACCTGTATGTTGTCTGCTGCTGTCACCACTCACTTGAGGAGGACCATCCTCACCGCTCACTAGAGGAGGACCATCCCTCACCACTCACTTGAGGAGGACCATCCTCACCGCTCACTAGAGGAGGACCATCCCTCACCACTCACTAGAGGAGGACCATCCTCACCACTCACTAGAAGATGACCATCCTCACCGCTCACTAGAAGAGGACCATCCCTCACCACTCACTAGAGGAGGACCACTCACTAGAGGAGGACCATCCTCACCGCTCACTAGAGGAGGACCATCCCTCACCACTCACTGGAGGAGGACCATCCTCA